ATAGAGTTAACTTTTTTCCAAATAGTTGTCAATCTAGTAATTTATAGAGTTAACTTTTTTCCTCTGTCGTTATAATTTTTTTTTACATTTTTTATTGATTCATAATCATTTTACAGTGTTGTGTGTCGTTATAATTTTAAGTTATTTTTATTAACGTTCCTGGAATTAGTATATGAAGTTTTACATTACAACTACAGAAGTATGAATTACCATATCATTCCGTAGGGCCTAGTAGTATATTTTTCATTTTTCAGTTTTTTTATTCAGCATAATTTATAAGTCTCTAAATGAATTGCTTTAGAAAGCTTGATTTTATTCTTGGTAAAATGATTATCTGTATAGTGTATGTACACCTGTTTATGACCAAAATAAACTTAAGATTGATTTAGAATCATATGTGTGTTTAAATGGTCATGATAGGAACTGTATGAATAACTTCTCTTTGGTGTCCTGAAATGTCTGGTTAGTTTAATTTAAAAAGGAAGTTAATGGGAAAGGAGTATCTTATTTTGACATCCTGTTTAACATTACATCTTTTCTCACCTTGACACTTTAAAGTTGGTGTTGGTATTAGGAGACCTGCACATCCCACACCGGTGCAATAGTTTGCCGGCTAAATTCAAAAAGTTGCTGGTGCCAGGGAAGATTCAGCACATCCTCTGCACTGGAAACCTTTGCACTAAAGAAAGTTATGATTATCTCAAGACTCTGGCGGGTGATGTTCATATTGTGAGAGGAGACTTCGATGAGGTGATGTACTTTCATTTCCCTTCACAGATATTTCCTTTTCTTGATTCTTTTATATATATATATAAGGTTTATTTTTTAGACCACAGCTCAACTGTTAAGATCTATTTTTTTAGTTTTCCACTATAAAATTATACATACCCTCCCTTACTGTTTGAAAATCACTGATTTTAGATTACTTAATAAACATATTAAATACTTCTAGCTTAATTGATTCAGACTAAAAGTGGTTTTGTCACTGTATTTGTACTATCATTTAGTTTATAAAGTTTTTGTTGTGAACTTCACCACCACCACCTCTGCTATCCTGTTCCAAGCCTATCACTTTACTCTGTTCCAGCTTCCTGATTCTACCCTTGCTCCCTCCACATTCGTTCTCCAAGTAGAAACCAGGGTGATCTTTTTAAGGTGAAGTGAGATCACATCACTTCTCTACTGAAAACCCTGCCATGGCTCCCTGTCTTAAGGATTAACTATAAAGAGGCGTGAAGGAGTTTGGAGGAGCTGATTGAACTGTTCTGTATCTTGTTTGTGCCAGTGCTTACACAGTTGTGTGCATTTGTCAAAACTCCTTGAATTGTACAATTAAAAAGGGTAATTTTACTGTATGTAAATTATATCTCAGTAAACCTAACTTTAAAGGAAAAATAAGTTAGGAGTTCTGGAGTTCCAACTTTGCCCATTAATTAATGATGAGATGTTAGGCAAATTACATTCTCTTTCTGACGTTGGTTCCCTACTATGTAAATGTGATTGGAATAGATAATTTTTAAGACACTGTCAGTGCTAACATTGTATGATTTAACATAATAAATATGATTTGAATATGAAAATTTTATTTTGTATTTCTGGAAATATAAACTTTCCAGGAATTATTTAACTTCATTGGTGCTCTTTTAGTGGACAGTGGGGTTCCTTTATACCAGAATGAATGGCACTGTGTTTTGTTTTGTTTTTTTAGTGTTAAGTTTGGATAAACTAGAGGTGGCATGAAGATGAAAGACAGGGTAGAAGGATGAGAAGGGAAGGGGTAAACATGTTGTCAATATTTTAGAATATAGTTTTGGTTTGTTAAAAATATATTTGTGTTTCTGTTTATAATATGCTAAAGATAAGTTTCAGTAGCAAGAATTAAAAAGTTTTCGCTTCTGAGTTGCTAAATTTACAGACCCTGGAGCCATACTATCAGGATTTGGATCTTGGCTCAAACTCCTAATAACATATGACCTTAGGCAAGTTAATTAACCTCTCTGTGCCTCAGTTTCCTCATCCATAAAATGAAAGTCATAATAGAACCTACCTTTTAGGATTGTTTCTAAGTGTTAGATAGGTTGATATTTATAAATCCCCTTAGAATGGTGCCTGGCTTATACTAGATGCTATGTAAGTGTCAACTATCGTTATTATTTTAAGCTGTCTGTAAAACTGTTAAAGCCTGGAATATAATTTGAACACATCCTAGCTTACAGGTCATGTTCTTAGTATTCTTAGATAGAGGAAACACAGATTTGGAATAATTTTTCTCTACAGCAAGCAAGCAAGCCCAAAAGAACACACATCCTATAAAAATAAACACAGTAAAGCAATTGCCTGATAAATTCCAGTTTACCTGAAGTTATGTTTTGAGCACAGTTGCAACCTTAGAGACTGAGAAGAAAGCAAACATTTAATAAATGCGTTGGTTGTGGAGCACTGTATCAAAACACCCAGTGAGAATGAATATTTTTGATTGTTTTTTAAACATCAGTATCTCTAAAATATTTTTTCTTGTGTCTGTTTCATATTTTAGAATCTGAATTATCCAGAACAGAAAGTTGTGACTGTCGGGCAATTCAAAATTGGTTTGATCCATGGACATCAAGTTATTCCATGGGGAGATATGGCCAGCTTAGCCCTGTTGCAGAGGCAGTTTGATGTGGACATTCTTATCTCGGGACACACACACAAATTTGAAGCATTTGAGCATGAAAATAAATTCTACATTAACCCAGGTTCTGCCACTGGAGCATATAATGCCTTGGAAACGTGAGTAGTATGGAGTTTGGGAATTCTGGAGTTTTATAAAGTTAATAATTGCACATGTGACATTTCACAAAATTCAGTTTTTTTATGGTGATTTTTCTTTTTAATATGTCTAACAACCAGATCTCTCCTTGAATTTGAATTGTCATCCCAAATTAAGATTTTTAGTGTTACTTCTTTTTTAGTACAAAACACTGACATTATTTATATTTTCTTCCAGAAACATTATTCCTTCATTTGTGTTGATGGATATCCAGGCTTCTACAGTTGTGACTTATGTGTATCAGCTAATTGGAGATGATGTGAAAGTAGAACGAATCGAATACAAAAAATCTTAAAGCCAGGCCTGTCTTGATGATTTTTTCTGTTGGGTTGTTTTTTGTTTTTTTTCATTCCCCTGTTTAAATCACGTAATTAAACATTTAAGAGCCACCAAGTTGTATCACTTTTATAATATCATCTTCTGTTAATACAATGTTCTAAGCTTCTTGTAAACTATAAGATTATATTTAGTTTAAGTATATGGTTTCTATGAAAAAATGTCCACCACGCAGTAAATGGTCACATGTTAAGAAAAATTTATCCTTGTAAATATCTTCATAGTTGATATTTGGAACTTTATTACAAAAGTAGTGCATGAGGAGAAAGAATCTAGACTTTCTTGTATACTTTTTTCTCTTCCCCAGTAATAAACAGTTACCTTTCATTTATACTTTCTTGATAAGCTGTGTTCTAATTTTTAAAAATCGTGAAAATGAGAGGCCAAATGAAGCTGCAGACAAGTACTATAGTGTTGAGGTAGATGAGGTGAACTTTCAGAGCTCTCTCCCTTGTTACAACATTCTGGGTCATAATTTTGGACTCAGGTTTTATTTTCTAAATAATATACCATATTCACATATTAAATCATCAGCAGTTCTTCAGACTATTACTTTTAAATGCTATTTTAAGTTTTAACAAAAAACTTTAAAATCTTATTACACTGATGTTTAATTCAAAAAAAAATATGTGCCCCTTTTCATAGTAGCACTATTTACAATTGCCAAGACATGGAAGCAACCTAAGTATCAGCAGATGACTGGATAAGGAAGGTGTGGTGTATATATACAACTGAACACTGCTTAAGCATAAAAAAGAATGAAATTTTGCCATTTGCAACAGCATAGATGGACTTGGAGGGTATTACGCTAAGTGAAATAAGTATATCACTTACGTGGAATCTAAAAAACAGTGAATATAACAAGAAACAGATACTGAGAACAAACTAGTAGTTACCAGTGGTAAAAGGGAAAGGGAAGGGGCACAACTGGGTTAGGGATTAGGAGGTACTATTATGCATAAAATAAGCCTGAAACCTGTATAATATTTTACATCAACTATACCTCAAAATAAAATAAATTTTTAAAATAAAATTTAAAAACACTAATGTTCAGGAGGGAAGCACACTAGAGTGAATATGCAATGTGAAGAATCCTTTCATTAGTGCCACTACTCCCAACTTAATCTAGTTTGAGAGTCCAAGTGTTTGTGTGGCAATTTTCACAAAATAGGGCAAACTGCTATTTCCATTCTTAAGTTGTATCTAAGCAGCAAATATTATTAAGCACTTTCTCTGCAAGCCAGGGTGTTATCGCTATCAGATTCTATTCTATATTGGGGTGTTTCAGAGTTTTCCTAAGCCTGAACAAGAAAATACTTGTAGGATGTTCTAATGTTGCTATTTTAGGAATTAGTGTAAACAGAGAAAGAATTATACAATGTATTTATCAGATATAAAGAAAAATAATTACATTTTAGGTGATGAGGAAAATTTTAATTGTTACCTAGCTAGAAATGTATTTCACGTAAATTTTATTACACAGATATCATTGGTAGACAGAACGACATCACACCAATTACACTGTTGTAAAAGTTTCTGAACAAACCAAAATTACTTAATGACTTAAAGGTGAATAACAGTATTATCCTAAATGTATAGAGAAGACAATTCACAACCCCTTCTCCCCCCTTTTGGCACATCAATACACAAGACAGGATTGTCAAGTTAACATCAGATGTTCTCCCTGTTCTTCAATTGACATTGATTGCAAGTACTTATTTAGTAAATCTTCTTCCTTTTTTTCTTCATTCATGTAAGATTCAGAATCACTTGTAGAAACTGGAGGAAAAATAAGAGATTATAATATGTTTTGGAAATAAAGTTGTATTTCATCCTGAAAATTGAGATTTGTATATAAGAACAACCTTCAAAATGACCTATCTTATTAATAAGCCTTTAGCAAAAACAAATTGCCTGCAATTTTCAAAATTTAATTACTTTGCCTTCCAATGCCCAATGCCATATTCTGGGCAAGTTGTTGTATAGCAGTTCTCTATTACTAAAGCCTGTTTTCCCATTGCTCTTCAAAATCTTTTGGCTGGGGGAAGTTACAGCTTCAGCATTCTCCATTTTCCTTAAGTTCCTTCTCATTTCTTTTCTCTTGGGGACCACAGGGAATTTTCCTCTTCCTGGGGTTTCCTCCAGCTGTTCTTTTAAGAACCAGACTTACCTTCCCCTGCCATTTCCCTCATTTCTTGGATGGACATGGTATTGTATTTACAGCAGAGCTGGGTGGTGCTGTCACACAGCAATGGGATATGAGTTCAGAAGGCCTAACTTGCCTGCTTGCTATGCACTTCCCTACTCACTGTGGTAATACTAGGAAATTGTTTAACTTCCACTTAATCCTTTTCCACTTCATCAATTATGAGGGATATTTGTGAGAATTTCATCTTCCTGTTTTGCCTTTTTCATTTTGTGCTATTCCTTACTTGCAGAAGAATCCTTTATGCTGATCCTTCCCAAGTCTGGATTTGTCTAAGTTGCTCTGTAAAATGTTGATAATATCACTTGGTTGGCTTGTTTCCACTGGTTGTTGAACATTAAACAAAATGGTATATAGCCCTTTGTAAACTGTTTTTGCTATACAAAATAAGTTGTCCATTCAAAAATGGCACTATCATTAAAAGTGCTATAGATTGAAAAAAATCGTATTTGTGGCCCTGGGTTCTGACAAATTTCATTCTCTGTTAAGACTCTGGCCTTGATATTATAAATATATTTAGAATTAGAAATACTTTCTTGAACCTTACTTCCTTGAGCAGTGTGCTTTTAAGTGAAAGCAGAAATTGATTTCATGTTTAGTTTTGTTTGGAGCAATATAAGCAAATTACATTCTAAATTTTAAAAAATGTATTCCGTAATAGAAATGGAACTATATTGGGGTTAATATTTTTAAGCATAACTTTTTTAACCTTTTTTAATTGAGTTATAGTCATTTTACATAAGCATAACATCTTTAAAGATGCATACTTTTAAAATTCCACATTTACCTGATTGCATTAACAGTCTGCCTGGTTTTTTAAAAATCTTCAGTGACTTACATCTTGTTTTAGATGCATATCCAGTTTTTAAACTGTAAGAAAGATAAGAATCTTAATTGGAACCAGCAAAGTGAACAGCTGCCTAATGCATGTGGAAGACCATAAAAATTCTTTTTATTAAGCTGCCTGCATCACCAAAGAGACCCTTTTGGCCCCTGAATTCTCCTGAGACTTATTAACACTGAAATGCAAAGCTACAATTGTAGTGCAGGTTGATTATTCTTAATCTCTTTTTTTCCTTTTTTGTTCATAGTATTCTTCTGTGCAGAAGCAACCATATGCTTCTCCTTTTGGAATTGTTTGTATTATTTTGAATTTGAATGGGAATCATTGAAAAAGGCAGTCTTCCATGTCTCTAGGTTATTGAAATTTTTACAGTTCCACAAAATTCTAAAAGCAGTAGCATATCCCAGTCTGCTCAGTAGAGACCGTAAGATAGCACCTTTTTGTGCTTTTTGTCCAACCTATTCCGAATTTAACAAAGTGAACAAATTAGAGAACACATGTATCATTTAGTTACCCTTCATATAAAGTTAGCGGTACATTTTTCTCTTAAACAATAGGAAACAGACCCTTCTCTGTTTCTAACTGGTCGCCAAAGGGAATGCGGTATGATCATCTCAGGTGCAGATGCAGCTGTGGTGTTAGAAGGCCCTGAGTCCTCTCTCTCCAGTTGATGTCGCCAAGTAGTGCAAGGGAAATGCTGTTTCTCTGAGTGACGAGAGCTGAGGTGGCTCCTGTGATGAGTTAGGACACCTGTCATACAAATCACCTCTGTTAGAAGACCCTCTTGTTTCTCATGAAAACTGGTAAAAAACTACCTGGAGCTGCACTTGCCTGGCTTTTGTGAGCTGCGCTGGATCACATGCATATACTGCCTCTTCATTAACGTCCTCAGATAATTTGCATTATAGATCTTAGCAATGCTGCACAGGTAACGCTTCTGGCCTATGGTGAGGTCGGAATGCTGTAAGACACAACAAGAATTATAGGGTGCATTGTACAACAGAAGCTGGCAATAATCTGTACCTGAAAGGAGAGTTTACTATCTGTACATTTTACTTAGGGAAATTCAGCTGTGTTAATTTGGCGAGAGAAAGAAATGGCCATTTCAATAGTACAAGTGACTGCTTGCCATCTCCACTCAAGTGATTCATATCCCCACTGAGGTTTGAGAACCACTGCACTAGAAGAATAAGGAAAGTGTGAATCTGCTGTTCTGTCAAAAGCCTTAGTTCTCATGTGCCTCTCAGTGAGGGCATCTTGCCTTCTGAATATGATGTGGGGTACCTCATGAGTGGTACCTAGAAGCAACCCAATTACTCTACTTAGTCTTAACTAAAGAAACAGTCTTTCTAGCACCAGAAGAACAACTAAGTGTCTTGTGTTGGACAGATTGAGAGATAGTCTGTTGGTCTCTGATACAAGTAATTTTGACTAAGATTTTCACAGGACTTGGTGATTTTAGAAATTGACGCTCACCTAAAATACGAGATTCCATTATATATGCATGTGTATATACACACACAAGATTTACTGAACTGAATAGGTAATAAATTAAGAGAAAATTCAAAATTTTGGCCAGAAAAATTTACCATTTTGTACAAATCTATAGTAACCCTACATTGCATTGCTTCTGAGAAGCTGCTTCTGGCAGCTGTGATTTTTAATGGGTAATGCTGGTCAACAGTTATAAAATATAGCCATTTTCTTTACTTCTAATTTTACAGTCCCTGAGCAAAATCTTTATGAGGCTGGGTTTCCATCTCTAGAGTGGAACTTTCCTCAAGCATCTTTGTGCTTTGGGGCATTAAGCTTCTTGAGTAAAGGTACATCAGATCTGAAGTATCATAAAGCCCTGAAAGAAGTCTTATGATAGGGAATCTATAAAGATAAAACCCTTGAATTCATTAATGAGTTTACCCAGCAGATATTCATGAATTCCTAGACATTATGCTGGGTGTACCTTGTCTTCTGCAGTGCCTTACCCTCTAAGTAGCTTATCTTCAATACAAAGTTCAGCTCTGAATACAAAGACTATTGGTATTTAAATAAACTATTAGCATTTAGTTAGCATACCTTTAGAAATGACTCCTCAGTCATTGATTTAGGGATGTGAACTGTTTGAATTTGAGGAGTTTTCCATAACTCTTGCAGCTTGACTACATGTGAGTTCACTTTGTGTCCATCTTTGATTCTATCTGTAGGGAAGGAATTATGTGAATTTCACAAGCAAAGACCAGTTTAACAAATAATTAAGCTCTATTAAGGTCTACATGTTTCAGTGATTATCCTGGAGTAGTGGTATGAGTCAGACTGTTAAATCTGAAGAGATTTTTATGATATGCCATTTGTTTTCAGAACACACAAAAATCTAAGACATTTATAAATATTTACTATATATATATAAAATTACATATGGGCTTTATTATTTTGAACACAACTGCAATGCAAACCGTTGATAGAAACTTACTTTTTTGGTTTATTATGTCAGACCATACTAAACAGGAACATACATGAGGTATTTGTGTTTTAAAGAGTTTCAAAAATGTTTTATCATTCATTTGACTTCAGTATGTAGTTTTAAAATTTTATTCTGTATTAGACTTGATAGAATAACACACATTTTACCCCTTTAATGAGGCAGTGTTAAAATGAAGAGCTTTTCAGACGTTAACTAAAACTTATTTTTACAAAACTTCAGTTATTTCATTATTTTAAATACTGATGTGGGTAGATGAAAATAATAGTCTTTTAATACAAATTAAAGTTGAGACATATTCCCAGAAGAATAGGAAGTAGTTTTTAGTTTCAGATACATTGAGAAACTTCAGTAACAGTTTAGGGAAAAACAATATCTGGCAAAATTTAATCAAGAAATAACTCTTATCATACTGAGTGAAGTAAGTCAGACAGAGAAAGACAAGTATATCACTTATCTGTGGAATCTGAAAAAATGACACAAATGAACTTATATACAAAACAGAAACAGACTGACAGACATAGAAAACAAACTTATGGTTATTAAACGGGAAAGATGGAGAGAGAGAAATTAGGAGTTTGGAATTAGAGATACAAACTACTATACATAAAATAGCTAAACAATAAGGTCTGTTTAGCACAGGGAACTATATTCAATAGCTTGTAATAACCTATAATGAAAAATAATATGGAAAAGAATATATATATGTATAACTGAATCACTATGCTGTACACCTAATACAACATTGTAAATCAACTATACTTCAACTAAAAAAATAAAATAACTCTTGCTCTCCTCGCCATATAACCCTCTTTAAGAGTTATATTTGCACACTGAAGGACTAGCAAAAAAATCATCCAGAAATTGTTATTATGTTCCTTAAAACATAATTTGGAGTATGTAATAATAAAATGAACACCAGTTCAACATTTTAAAAGTTGTTCATCTCATAAATGTGGGATAATTGTTTAAGAATATCTTTTTTGTGTGTCCCTGTTAATCAATAATTCTAAGGTGTGTATTATATCCTGGACTAAAATTTAGTTCCTCAAAAGGTTGATAGCATTTCTTTATGGAAAATGAAACATTTAAAAGTAATAGTTAAATGCAACAAACAACCCAATTGAAAATGCCAAAGGACTTGAATAGACTTTGGATGTCTCCAAAGATAAACAAATGGCTAATAAACACATGAAAAGATGCTCACTATCACTATTCATTAGGGAAATGCAAATCAGAATCACAATGAGACATCACTTTATACCCATAAGGATGACTATCATCAAAAAACCCCCCAAAAAACTGGAAAGCAAGTGTTAGCTAGGATGTGGAGAAACTGGACCCCTGCCCTTTGCTGGTGGGAATATAAAATGGTGCAGTTGCTGCAGAATCAATGTGGTGGTTCCTCAAAGAGTCAAGCAGAATTGCCACACGACTCGGCAATTCCATTCTAAAACAACCACATAATGTATATACATATATCTATTTTTTTATGTATAAAAATAGTAATATGTATGTATACACATACAGATATGTGTATTTTTCCTAGGCAACAGTAAGGACTATGCATTTTCCAAGGAAAAGCAAAGTGAATTCAGGTTTATACATCACTTGATTGAAATTGTTCCCCTGCAAAAAATTAGTGAGAGGTCTTTGGAGGCCTGTCTTAACCTTTTACCTCCAGCAGCTCTGTCCTTTATTTCAACTGAGAGAAAAATAGCAGCACTGAGAAATATTTTATGTTCTTTGAAGTTGTACAGTTTAGAACTTTTTCCTTCAATCTGTGTATAAACCCCAGCTTTATATCAGTTATAAACACAGTTCTTTTCAGATTCATTGCTATTTTGAAGTACTCTTTTGATGTGAGATATCTTAACAGGAGACAAAGAACCTGCTGGGTTGTTCTTTGAAAATCTTAAAGACTGAGTTTACCAAGGATGCTAATAAAGACTATTTTAAAAATTCCACTGTATAAGTAGTTATAGCAAAATTGGCTTCTCTGAGCCATATTATATAGGTATTATCTGCTTTATATGTTCTACTCACCAGTACCTTTGGAACTCTGGTAATAAGAATGTTCAGCTGATCTGTTTTTTTAAAAAAAAAAAGAATGTAAAGAATATATTAACAATTGACAGCTTTATAAGCATCGAAGAAAGTATTTTAAGTGAAAAAACGACAGTATTGCATGTGCTTTTTACTTTTCATGTCTCAGTCAAACATAATGTCTTTCAAATTTTCTCCTATAATTCTGGTTATAACTTAATGACTCTAGGCTTTTTCAAAGTAGGTTATCTGAGATTTTTTCCCATACTACAAACGACTTACTTTAAGCCAGTTTTGGCCTTACTTTATAGTCGCCTAATCTAATTTCTACATTGAGCTCAATAAAATAGTTTGGGCTTCTTGTACTATCCATGATAGTCTCTTCCTTTAATTTTAATAAGGAAATGTTATTTGTTGTATGTAATTTAAGGTGTACTGGAACTGATAAATTGGTCTAGAATGTTTCTAATTTTGTACAAGCTCATTTTTTTCTTTTCTCAAATTAAGACAAAACACTCTCGGTTTCCTCTTCCCGCAATTTATTTAATGACCAAGAGATCATTGATCCCTTGATATACTAGGATTCAGAACTTTGCCGAGCACTGTGATGAACAAAAAAAGAAACACAAGACCTCGTTCCATCTTTAGAAGTTGCAAATCCACCAAATCTATATATATATTTTTACAGTGGTCATGGGTGCAGCAGGAGTCATGACTGTGGGCTGGAAAGCAACACCGGGCTGTTTTCACTTTGAGGGCTAACTGTTGAAAGGGATGACGAGGTACTGCCTCCAGCAGTGACTTCAGCAATCCAGGAAATAATAGTAAAAACCTGCTCAAAGTGAAATGGATTTATGAAGAAAGGACTTCTGAGTGAAGAAAATGTCAAAATCAAGGTACCTCTAACATTCACAGTCATCTGTCTCATTGGCGATTATGAATCCCAATTTGAGGAAAAGGTGGCTAATATCACACACAGGGAAATGATTTACTGACTTGGAAGCCCTCCTTTCCTATGGTCCCCGACCCCCGTCCCACCTCCCTCCCTCGATCCCTTTTTGTGGAAGTACTGTGGTTAAACCGCAAAATTTCCAGCAGATATCGCAGCGTCCCCTAAGGGCAGAAAGAGGCACCCAGGCGACTGTCGCAGTCAACAGCGTTTAGCCAGTCAGTCATTGCACCAACCCTCCCCTAAGCTTCCCTCAGAAGCCCTTCTAAACTGTGAGTCTGTTTCCATATTTCCCATCCTGGCCACAACAAAGGTTCTCCCTTCCTCACTTCAGTGCACTGGGGTCCAGTCCATCGGAGCAGCCAGCTCCCATCCCCTCCTCTACACGGGGATCACGATCCGGCGGAGCTGGTCGCCGTCCTCCCTAACCCCTCAGGGTCCCGCAGCCTCACCCGCCGCTGCCACCCTCGGTCCTGGCCACTGCAGGCGGCTCTGCGGAAGAGCTGCATTCCGTCCAGTCGGACACTGGACCCTGGCAGGACATCTCCTCCCCGGTGCCCAGACGGCGAGCTATGTGCAGAAGCTTCCCCGTTTCCCCTCCCCTGACAGCCCGCGTGCGTCAGGCCGGGCGATGTTGGTGAAGAGGCTGACGCCGGATTCTAGCCCCCTCCGAGCAGTCCGGACACTGCCCGAATAGCTTCGGGAGAGCGGGGCGGGCAGATCCATGATCCTGGAGTTAAGGTGGGGGAAGCGCGGGAGTTCTTTAGTTGACTGAGCGTTTGTACGCTTTCATCTTTTTGTGTAAGGGATGCGTCACGGAAAGGAAGTATACCTTTCCTCTAAAAAGGTGCCTTCCACCTCAGTATTCCAGACCCTCAGCAAATCTGTAAATCTTGAGGGTCACCATATAAGTCAAACATCAGTACTCAAACCAAGGACCACAGCACCTTGCTCAAGGACACCGAGTATAGTCGGTTATCCGTTATCACCAAGGCAACCAGGCTTTCCCGGTATCCCAACTACTATTTCCTCCAACTACTTCTGCGCACGCGCGAGCCTTCCTCGGGCTTTTCGCAGAACGCGTTTCTCATCGAATTTGGCCTTCGGGATGCTCCGTAGTCAGAGGCGTGGCAGAACAGAAGACGCAAAAGGAATTTGGAATGTGATTGGTTCATAGGCCATGTTTCCGGAACCCGGTGGGCGTCGCGCGAAGGCTGAAGGGAGCGTGGTGGTCAGCCTGTGCTGCGGGAGGCACCAGGAACTCGAGGAGCCAGCATGCCTCGGTATGCGCAGCTGGTCATGGGCCCCGCAGGCAGCGGGAAGGTGAGGATTTGGCGGGAGAAGGAGAAAAAAGTTTGAGTTTGTGGGAGGCAAGGAGGTTCTGGGGGAGGGACTGGCGGGTTTGTTACTGGGGACCCTGAGACCCTGGGCCGCTCGCTTCTGCTACTTGGGCTTCGGTGTCCTTTTTGTTGTTGTTTTGGAAGGAGATTAATGATAATAACTAATATTTATTGCGTACTTAAGCCATAGATACTACGGTAAAAAAAACATTTCCACAACAACCTTGTGAGAGAAATCTTATCATTCCCACTTTACATATAAGGAATATGAGACAGAGAAAGATTAAGTTTTTGCCCAAGATAACACAGCTAGTAAGTGACAGCTGGAATTTGAATCCAGTATTGTATAACTCCAGAACCTGTCCCTGTCTTGCTCCCAGGAGGTGAAATGGTGTCTGGTTAATCACTGTTACTCAGAGCTGGAGACATGGATTTCTGATATTTGAGGCTATTTTAGGAGGTACATGGACGTGACATTAATGAATACTGAATCTAATATTGAGAAAGTTGCTCCCTTTTCAGTTCTCCTTCAGTTTGCATTGATGTGAAATTGTCAGTTTGATGCTAGTGCACCTTCAACACTTCTTTAATACTCAAGTCTTTTTGGAAAGCTGATCTTAGACTAAGGGCTTTTGACAAGCAATGTATTTAGCTAGAACTGAAAGAATTTTGAAGTTGTGTTTTATTTTGTGGTTACCTTCACGTTATGATAAATATGACTGGTTTTCTGGTTAGAGATACAAATTTTTCTTGTAAACTGCTTTTAAGGGACTCATATTAGGGACATTCAAATATGGTAGAAACTTTGTGATGATATTGATCAAATAACAGGAGAGTGGGAAACACTGGAGTCTGTGGAAGTGTTGTGTGGCCTCAGTTTTTATATTGACACATTGCTCTGATGCTTGACCTATCCTGGGTGCAGGAGATACACATGTGACTATGATATGGCCCTTGTTTACCCAGAACCTATAGTCTGTCTGGGAATACTTATAGATGACTTGTCAATTAAAATACAGTGCGATATATGGACAGGGCCTCCTAGACAGAACAGTATGTGTAAAGTCACCAAGGAGAAAGCTAAAAGCATGATAAAGATCGTTTCTATATTCCAGATCAATTTTCCAATCAGTTCTGACTGATTGTCTTAGATAAGTGTCCTTCTATAAACTTTTGACGCCTGCTATCAGAAATACTCATTGGGCATGCTCTTTGTGCCAAGCACTGTTCTGGGCCCTGGGGATTGTATAGTGACTAAAACACACACAAAATCCTCTGCCCTTTAGCTTATTCAGACATATTAAGTCAGTCAATTAGAAATAATCAAGAAGTGCTTGCTTTGGCAGCACATATACTAAAATTGGAATGATACAGAGATTAGTGTGGCCCCTGCACCAGGAAGACATGCAAATTCGTGAAGCTTTCCTTGTTTTTAAAAAACTAAAAATAGAGATACTGTTTGATCCAACAATCCCACTCCTGGGCTTTTATCTGGAGAAAACTTTAATTTGAAAAGATACATGCACCCCAGTGTTCATAGCAGCACTATTTACAATAGCCAAGACATAGAAGTGACCTAAATGTCCATTGACAGTTGCTTGGATAAAGAAGATGTGGTTTATTTATACAATGGAATACTACTCAGCCATAAAAAATAAGAAGATAATGCCATTTGCAGCAACACGGATAGATGTAGATATTACCAAACTAAGTGAAGTAAGTCTGACAGAGAAAGACAGATATCACATGATCTCACTTATATGTGGAATCTGAAAAAAAAAAGATACAAAGGAACTTACAAAAGAGAAACAAACTCACAGACATAGAAAACAAACTTACAGTTACTAAAGGGGAAGGAGAGGAAGGATAAATTAGGAGGTTGGGATTAGAAGATATGAACTTGCTGTCTACAAAATAGATAAACAACAGGGCCCTACTGTATAGCACAGGGAACTATATTCAATACCCTGTAATAACATAA